CCATTTCCATTTCTAGCACTGTTCTTAGCTGCATATGGACCTAAAAACTGTTCGTATTCTCTTCTGTTATTTCCTACCCTCCCGTTGAAGTCACCCATTACATATAGTATGCTGCTTCCCTCAACTTTCTTTATCTCATCAGACAGATCGTCAAAGAATTCATCTTTCTGCTCTTCTGTATAATTATCATTGCATGGTGCATATATCTGTATATATGTTTCAGCTTGTTCTCCTCTTTTAATTTTCAAAGTAATAATTCTATCTGAGTGATAATGTATGTCTAATATGTAGTTAGATATGTCCGGATGTACCAGGAAACCCACTCCATTCTTCGATGTTTCTCCTCCTGCATATGTTAGTAAGTAGCCTCTGTGTATTTTCTTATTAATATTTCCCTTGCGTCTTATGTCAGCTAGCCCCATTAACTTGATTTTCCTTTTTTCCATCATTTCAATAATCTCTTCTGTTTTATTTCCCAGGCCAGCGGTGTTAAGTGTTGCAATCTTGTATTTCGCTGTTCTGTCTCGTAGTCCGTTAACATTGCCATGGTCAGATACCGTTTGATCAGTCCGTTTATATCTCATTTTGATTTTTTGTAGCGGTAAAAAATCCATTGCCGGCTGTTGCTAGCCTGTCGCAACTTCACCAGAGCCCCGTTGGCCAGGACGTTTCGGGGTGACCCAGGGTGGCCTTCATGGCTACCGTAGCGGTCCCCGTGGCACGAGGCCACACCATACTCCCTTCGCCCACACCTAGCAATCCCCTACTTTGTCCTGTTTCGAGGGCCCAAGGTTAAAATTGTAAATAGCGAGCCATATAAATTGGCTTAGCACTGCACGCTACCAAGAGCCATGGAAAGGACTCCTGCAGTGTTGATGCGTTAAAACGAGACAGACCCAAATACTGTCCCAACGGGCGACAAAGTCGTCTACCGGCGAGCCAATGGACGATCCGGTCACCGATGTGTAGTCGCAGTAGGAAAACAACATATCTCCCTTGGGACATTTGTTTACTTCCGATGGAAACCGGAAGTTTTCAACATATATATGCCAGATAGCACTTCACCTTATTTCATAAATAATCATCTTTAAGATTTTAATAAATTAAACTCTTTGTCACATAATTATATTTATAAAACATTCTGATAGCATATTTTTTAAATATTACCACCATAAAGGAGTCGACGCTATAAAAATGCAGCGCGTTATTACAGTCACCGATATTTGACTATCATAGTGTCCGCTAACTGGAAAGGGCTGAATAATTTGCAGTGCTAACTGTGGGAGTAAGGGTGAATGCTAGGCTGGGCCGAGGGGACACTTTTGCAGCCTTCCTCTCTGCTTTTGAGATGATACAAAGCCAGATATCTGTGTATCTGATTCATTCAAAGTTAGTTCTGGCGCTTCTGTCGTAACTGTTGAGATTTTTAATAGGGTTGCGAGGTTTTAATGAACACCAGATGTTGTTGATCCCCTGTCTTTCCCCCTCCCTGACTAACGCTTGGTGAAGGGAAGAAATAGTTATTAGTTGCAGTAATACTTGAAGTAATTAGGGAATGAATGAGACAAGTAGTACTATTATTTGTCTCCTTCCTTCTTTGATTATCTATTTAAGACAAATAAATGGCAAGTTAGATGCCTCGCGCTTATGTTTATATCTAAATATCAATTACTTTCACATATATTTTTAACTGGTCATTTGAATGTTGAATGCATCAAAAATTACGCTTCTTCAGTACACTGTTCAAGGCTAACATTCCAAAGCATTTGATGTGTGTGAATTTAGTTTTCCCGGAACACCATTTAAATATATACATAGCAAAAATGTAGAGCTAAAAACAAAGGTCAGAAGTGTTAAAAATAATAGGTCATATACCGAACTTCACCTGAAATGTGATTAAGGGTGCCTGGGAATATGAAATGACTTCAAGGGTGTACAGGAATGTAAATTATCCCAAGGTTGCACAGGAATGTGAATGACCCCAAGGTTGCACAGGAGTGTGAAATGATTCTGAGGGTTCACAACAGTGTGAATGATTCCAAGCGTGCGCAGGAGTGTCAAATTACTCCGAGGGTGCAGAGCAGTGTGAATAATCCCAAGGTTGTAAAGGAATGTGAAATGACTCCAAGGATACGTGCGTGTATGAAGTAACTATCACGTAAACCATATGTAAACATGAATCTACTTGTGTAACTTGATGAATGCACTTATCTGCTGTGAGGTTTGGGGGGAGTCTCTATATTTTAATCTTCATACACAAATTTCAGAATTGGTAGCTCAGTTGAGAACTGACATCACAGCACTTGGGACATTCCCATAAGTAGTTTGTCTTCATTTTCAGCAGTCAGCAAAGAGTTCCAGTGCTGATTGTAGCAGCAGCAGTTTGATTATATCTCCCACTTACCTTTCCGTTGACTGTCAGCCAGATCTCCTGGTCACTCCCTGCTGCACCATTCTCTCCGCACTGTAGTGATCTGTTCGCACTTCTGCATTGTTCACTTGCTCCCAAAAAGTGTTGACCGTATCTAGCTTGTCCTGAAATTCACCACCAAGTGGTGCAGTACCAGCCATTCTGTCTACCTCTTTATTTCTAATCACCTGCATGACCCTCAAAAATGATCCAAACTATGCTGACTACCGGAGACCTCTGCATGGAGCATGCTTTGTAAGTAAGTCTGTTACAACCACATCGTGTGTCAGCAACTGGTTTTCAAGCCAGCAGAAATCTGCTGTGATTGCTTCCACCTCCATTCTCAGATACATGTGGTATTATATCCTAAGCTTTGTTTATCGTGGTATGGAGACGTCGCAGGTCGAACCCAGCCTCAAATGGGTACCAGGATGGGCTGTCCTGGGAAAGTAAAGACGGCCGGCGTAATGCTGACCACATTACCCACCGAGTGCCGATTGGTCTGTAAAAATATGGGTGCTCCTCCCATATGCCCGATGCGCCTAAGGGCGTGTAAAGGGATCTTTACTTTTTTACTTTACTTTATTTCACACAGCTGTGTCCATTTGCTTTTGTAATGAACCCCTTCACTTTTTTTACCTCTCAAAACAGAGACATCTATATCAGTCAATCAGGTGCCAACTCCACAATGAAGGTTGGCTGCAATAGCTCTCTGATACGCTCTATCTCTTGTTGAATAAGCAATTGAATCAAAATACAGTCCCAAATTTTGATCAGACGGTGTGAAGCTCTTGGGGATGGCATTTCGAAGACTTGCATCATACTGAGAAAATCTGCCCCACATGACTAGTTTTAGCCATTCCTATTCTCTTTTTTTGATTTCTGTTTTATTTCTGCCATCATCTGCTACTACATGTTCAAGATGTTCAAAGTAGGAACTTATTTTAATATCTTTTCCTTTACCTTTCCATTACAATACTAATGGTTGCTGTTTTCTGTTGTTAATTACCATAGTTTTTGTTTTTAAAATGTAAATGTCTAAACCATATTCTGCTTCTCTGCCTGTTGACTTGATCTACTAGGTCTTGTAACTCGTGCTTGCTTTCTGCTAGTAGCAATGTGTCAACCATGTATCTCAGATTGATTATTATTCTTCCATTATTATTCAGTCGATTCTCCAACACTTGTTTAAAAAATGTTTTCTCTACATAAGTTAAAAAGGCTTGGCGATAACACACATATTTGCTGTACTCCTCGTTTTATCTCTATCTGTGGTGAGACAGTGTTGTGTATAACTGTTGCTACATGCTTCAAGCATAGGTTACTAATCATTAATATCTATTCTGTCTTTCCTTGACTCCTACAGCTCTTCTAAGGCATTTCATCTCTGTCGTCACAATTTTACATTTATTATAGGATGTAAGTGTCTACATTTGCCACAAAATAGTTCTGATAAGATTCAATTTAGTACTTTGGGGTATTTGCTTGTCTGTCAAGAGGTGAGATAGTTGCCCTCTTTGGCACATCTTGAGCTAATTTCTCTGTCCAGTTTTCCATTTGATGTGAAAATTTGCTTTCAAATACTTAAATTCCTCTGTTTGTCTTAAGGTGTTGTTTTTTAATTGAATTTCTAAATTGTCGTTCTGTCTTCCTATCACCTTTATCTCTGTCTTCATTGTGTTTATTATCATATTATACTCCTCCCCTTTGTTATAATTTGATTTAGGTGGTGCTGTAGGCTTTCCGTACTTTCTGCTATGAATACCCTGTCGTCTGCGAATAGTAATTCTGTAATATATTCACAATTAAAGTCCAGTATGCAGGGATTTCAGTTGTGATAATATAAAATAACCAGATGAACCAAGAGCAGTTAACAACCCGCAGTATGGGACAGAATAAGAATCTCTTTCAGTGCTTAATCTGTCACGATGTGGTCCCGGGTAGTTAGCATCCTTTGGATATTTCTCCGGGAAATGCAGATGTGTTGGGAAGTTAACAAGCAAATAGATTGGCTAGTTCTGCTTTAATTGGTAGTAAATCAATGTATGACAGGCTAAATATTTTAAAGGTAATGATGATGTTTCTTGATTTGCCCCCTGAAATCATCAGTGAGACAGATTTTTAAATAATGTAACTAGGTCTCCCAGGTCAGCTCAGCCTCGAATGAGCACCAGGAAAAGTATGAGAAGTAAAGGTTGCACTAACGCGATGTTTACCTCATCCCCCATCAAGTGCCGATTGGAGTATAAAAATATGGGTCTAGTACCAGAAAATTCCCAATGGTGGGGAAAGGGTAATTCATTTTACTTTTCATTTGCAGTTACTTTCATCAGTAGTCAGTACAGCTGGTGAATGCGAAGAAGAAGAGTACTTAAAATGTTCTTTGTAAATTGATGACAGTTGATTTTGCTTCCCAGAAAATGGAAACTGGTCGGGTTGATATAGACAGTTTGTAAACTGCGTCGGCTGTCTTCACGATTTCATAAACAATGCCTGCAGTGAGATGTACATGAAAGGTAACATAAGTGTAGATCTTGGCAGTTGACCTATGTCAGTGACAGTGAAAGACACACTTCCACAAACGGTCGACATGACAGCACAGCCGCCACTGGCACTGAGCATTCAGCAGGAAGTCCAGCTGCGATTTCTAGGCCCTTCAGATGTTGCAGAGGTGAAAAAGCTGTGCAGGGAGTGGTTTCCTATTGAGTGAGTAAACTTGTTCTGTGTGCTTGTGATTTTGGTCATCTGCTGCTAGTGAAAATGTGTGTTGAGCTAAGAACTGACATAGCATTTCCATCACTGCTCCATACTCATCTTCAGCAGCCAGCGAAGAGTTCCAATTCTGATGGTGCTAGTAGCAATTTTGATTTTGTGTTTGATTTTGCCTTACCTCTTAGTGTAAAGTATTTCAGGATCCTCACCAGTGCAACGGAGTTCATGCACTGCGCCTGACTTCAGTTAGAAGTTAAACGGAGCACTTGAAGTACTACCCTTGTGCCATGATGTTGGTGAATGCTATGTTAAACCTAAACGTTGACCAGATCACCAGGTCACTCCTAGCAGTACCATTCTCTACAGGATCTAATGATCTGTTCGTTCCTCTGCATTGTTCACTTGCTTCCAAAGAGCCTTGGCCACATCTAGCTGGTCATGTTTTCATTAACCACCCATAGGTGCAAAACCAGCCAATACATCTGCATGTTCATTTACCAAGACTTCTGCATCTTCTGGAGAAATATGTGTTCCTTGTCCATCACAAGTGAGGAAGACTGCTTAGCATCTATTAGTAGTTTTGATCAATGATTGTGAGTACAAAGATGGCTGATGAGTCCATTGTGAGCCAGGAGAGTTCTTTATTAGTGCAGACAACAGATGAAAGTGACATTTGAAGTGGGATTTGCCACATTATTCTTTCAAGTCTGTCTCTGTTTCTCTGCAAGTGCAATCTTTGCTTCCTGGCAGGCTGGTTCTCCATGCTTGAAGAATAAAAACTTGGTAGTTGAATAGCCCTGGCATAGGTAGTCATTGTTTGCAATCTCACACGTGTCATTGTTTGCCATCTCACACAATCACCAATCTAGGCCTAATTCTTATAGTTCATGCTGTGTGGCATTGGTAGTGTAATGATCTCACTCGTTGTCTAGTGGGTATGTGTGTGTCGTGAATGTTCTTATCACACACTACGTTAACGTAACTGTACAAGCTGACACCGACTTAGCCGTACGAAACATCAGTTTATTGACATGTTACAACTTAAAGCAGTGTCCAGTCGTTGTCCTAATAAACAGCTCTCGCACACCACATCACGCTGACTTCAACAAGCAGGTTCCTCATGCAATCACTGACTAGAGTTTGCCCTGATGCATCCCATTGATCTTTTGGACATTACACAGACTGGCCTGGCTGATCTTGACTTTTACACGTCTGATTCTCCTTTCACCACAGCCATCTCACATTGACATTCTTACGCTCAGTCTCCTGTCCTTTTGTCGGCACAAACTAAATTGATCAGAATCAACTCTGATTTATACCACGGGTTAGTTTCACGTGGCAACATGATGTTCCTTTACTTCCACGTGGCGACCTTTCGTCGCGTCATCGTGATACACGTGATAACTCGTGGTCATCACCTATCTCAAGACCCTCATTTAATCCGAGTATCTGGAATATCTCGCTGTTTTGGGTTATCCTTGGGCCTACCCCCCAACCTTCCTAATCTGGGTGAAAATATCCCCCATTGCAGGTAGTCAGGTCTATCCACAACCTTCTGTCTCGTGTACTTTCAGTCCTGATGCAGGTTATCTTCCATACCATGATTTTGAACTGTCCAGCAACTTCTCTCTCAGTCTCCCTCTGCCTCTTATCCCCCCCAACTTTCCCACCATCACAGAGTACTCCAGTTTTCTCCTTCTCCTGAGGTGACTAATGAATTTGATGTGGGTAATCAGTTCTCTTCGTGAGTTGTCTCCTTATGAAGTGGGTAATCATTTCTCTTCGTGAGTTGCCTCCTTCTGATGTGGGTAATCAGTTCTCTTCCTGAGCTGTCTCCTTCTGATGTGGATAATCAATTCTCTTCCTGAGTTGTCTTCTTCTGATGTGGATAATCAATTCTCTTCCTGCGTTGTCTCCTTCAGATGTGGATAATCAATTCTATTCCTGAGTCACTTTCAAGACATCTTCATTACTCTATTTATCTGTCCAGATTGTTCTCATCACTTGAGATGTGGATAATCAATTCTATTCCTGAGTCACTTTCAAGACATCTTCATTACTCTATTTATCTGTCCAGATTGTTCTCATCACTTGCCTATAAAACCACATCTTTGCCGCTTCCAAATAGTTTTTCACTAATTGCTCAGCTGTCCACGATTCCCTTACATATATCAAGATAGGATTTATGTAGCTCTTGAGAATTCTCTTCCTCATCTTAGTCTGACAAAAAAAAGTCTAAGCTAAGTTAGTGTTTTTGTTCCGTTATATGTCAAACCGGCTAGGAATTTATCTGTCATCTGATTTCTCTTTTTCCAGTTGTCACCGAGTTCTCAAGTGTGTTTATCCATATAAAATTCCCCCCTCCCCCCACCTCCCAAATCATGACTGTTGACACACCTTGAAGTTAGGAGAAGCAGTCATGATCTTCTTTCTTTTTTTGTTCTTCTGCTTATGCCATAAAGCATGGCAGAGAGGAGTTAGGTGTTGTTTCTCATCTTTTGATAGTTGCGGAGTTTATGTTGTATTACATTTATGTTGTGTCTCTTTGTATTCGATATGCATGGGTAAACCTTCTTGAGTCAAAAATAAAAATGTACTAGCCAGTGTTCAACTTCTGTGGCAACACTGAAATTAAAACAATGTGATATGCATGTTGTGTGTTTCAGCTGAAAGGATTAATTTTTATGCTTCTTTGTCTAATTCACCTAGTATGCACCTCGTGAGATACAGTGAAAATGCCACACTGTACATCGGTAAATCTATTATTTACATTTAGTAATAGTAAATTAGTAGACAAATCATTCTCACTGGATTATTTTGATTCCGACTCATACAAAACTTTGTGAAGAATGAAATTCTGATCTTTTTATTTCATCTGTAGTTATTATCCGATTGCAAACACTAGATAACTTCCTTAGCTGCTCTGGGTCATTTCAGAATGGTTATGGGATACAAAGTAGTTATGAATAAAGTTGTGATGTGATCAGTGTTGAGTGGGAGCTAGAGCAAAAGTCTGCTTGTACACAAGCCAAGGACTAAAACACCAGATAACCACCGAAGAGTCCTTCTGCCAAGTGGAGAAAACTAACAAACTCAACAGTACAAGCTGCAAGTTTGTGACACATTATATACACTAGCTATTGGCTGGAGACAGCTGAGGGAAAATATAACTGTCTTACCCACTGAGAGGGTTCTTTTTCTTAGCATTCACTGGTTGTAAAATCTGGCAGAAAGTCCTGGTTGTGTGTCCACTCATGGACTGTGGTTTTGTTCCAGAACTTGAGTTTTGCATGCACATCCGTTTTACAGGTCTGGATTATTTGTTTGCAAACTGTTGTTTCCTCGCTTCTCAGGCGAATACACTCCAACTTCGAAGGAACACTCCTCATCAGTCGCTTCCAGTGACATGCTTTTTGTGGGGGGGGGGGGGGGGGGGGGGGGCATTGGGTCTCTTCATTCTTTTCCCCAAATTCCAAAATGGGGCTCTGGAACCCACAAAGAGAACTTGAAGGGTTAATTTTCCCAGATTTCCTAGGTATATCAGTGTATCTATTATTCATATCCTCATTATCAAAATTGTTTATGTTTACGACAGACAACAAAAGCTGACATCTACACTTCTTCTTTCTTCTTTTCCCTACTCCTAAAATGCGTAGCTGCTTCATGGCAGGGAGAGATCTCTGGAATGGGCTTTTTTGTTTGCTTCGTATAAAATACTTTTCAGTGTCTCTGATACTTCTGCGGTCCATCTTCTGCGTAGTGAATCTGTTACCGTTGTATCTGAATAACATTGCTCTTTGTGGTGCCCTGTCTCTGATGCCAATCTTGTTACATGGCCAAACCATTTGATTTGTTGTACATACATTGAACACTACTTGTACTTATTGCTTAGAAATGGCTATAGGCTGTTGATAATGTTTTCCCTAGGTACCCCGATTCGTGGTACGAGGAGATCACATCCAACCCATTGTTCTACTCCCTGGCCGCGACACATCATTCGAGAATCATCGGGCTGATTGTGGCAGAGCTGAAACCTCAGATGAAACTGAACAAAGAGGTAACTAGAGTGTGTGCCTGTATTTATTTAAAGCATGATTATGTATATGTAGCTTAAAGTAATCCTATAGAAGAGCAAAATTGTGGATCCGTATGTATACTTGGTCCTGACGTAATCAAATATTCTTCGTGTTCACCAGCTGTCAACTCCAACGGAAAGTTCTGGCATTTGTTCACTTCTGGATTTTAGCCTTGTTCCACAGCTTGATTGTTGCATGCACATCCATTTTACGGATCTGACTTATTTGTATGCAGAAACAGGTTTTCCATACACCAATTAGATGCTGGTTGTGCCAAGAAAAGCTCCAAACTTTCCCGAACAGACACCACAAGAAGTTTAACATTCTGCTCAATCTGCTCTTCAAACTCTTTCAGAACTTGCAGAAAGAGGCTTTTCAGACACTGGGGGGGGGGGGGGGGGCAGTGGGTCTGTTTTTGATTTCCCCCACAATGGGGCCCCAGATCTCCCACCTAAAAGACTTATCTTCAAGGATGGTTTCATAGATGGGATGCAGAGGTGCTGAACCTGAAGTGAGGTGATCACTTATCTTCAGAGATGGTTTCATAGATGGGATGCAGAGGGGCTTAACCTGAAGTGAGGTGATCACTTATCTTCAAAGATGCTTTCACAGATGGGATGCAGAGGTGCTAAACCTAAAGTGAGGTGATCACTTATCTTCAAAGATGCTTTCACAGATGGGATGCAGAGGTGCTAAACCTAAAGTGAGGTGATCACTTATCTTCAAAGATGGTTTCATAGATGGGATGCAGAGGTGCTGAACCTGAAGTGAGGTGATCACTTATCTTCAGAGATGCTTTCACAGACAGGATGCAGAGGTGCTGAACCATTCAGGTAATGGTGAACCAGGAGCACAGCTCATACTGGTCATATATCCACTATGTCTCGGGATATGGAAATAGGTCTTTATTCTACACCTCTCGGTGGTTAAGAAGACCTACCTACACCTCTGTGCAGTGTAGAAGACCTACCTACACCTCTGTGTGGTGTAGAAGACCTACCTACACCTCTGTGCAGTGTAGAAGACCTACCTACACCTCTGTGTGGTGTAGAAGACCTACCTACACCTCTGTGTGGTGTAGAAGACCTACCTACACCTCTGTGTGGTGTAGAAGACCTACCTAATCCTCTGTGCAGTGTAGAAGACCTACCTACACCTCTGTGTGGTGTAGAAGACCTACCTACATCTCTGTGTGGTGTAAAAGACCTACCTACACCTCTCGGCGGTGTAGAAGACCTACCTACACCTCTGTGTGGTGTAGAAGACCTACCTACACCTCTGCGCAGTGTAGAAGACCTACCTACACCTCTGTGCAGTGTAGAAGACCTACCTACACCTCTGTGCAGTGTAGAAGACCTACCTACACCTCTGTGCAGTGTAGAAGACCTACCTACACCTCTTGGCGGTGTAGAAGACCTACCTACACCTCTGTGCAGTGTAGAAGATCTACCTACACCTCTGTGTGGTGTAGAAGACCTACCTACACCTCTCGGCGGTGTAGAAGACCTACCTACACCTCTGTGCGGTGTAGAAGATTTACCTACACCTCTCGGCGGTGTAGAAGACCTACCTACACCTCTGTGTGGTGTAGAAGACCTACCTACACCTCTTGGCGGTGTAGAAGACCTACCTACACCTCTCGGCAGTGTAGAAGACCTACCTACACCTCTATGTGGTGTAGAAGACCTACCTACCTACACCTCTGTGTGGTGTAGAAGACCTACCTACCTACACCTCTGTGCGGTGTAGAAGACCTACCTACACCTCTGTGTGGTGTAGAAGACCTACCTACACCTCTGTGTGGTGTAGAAGACCTACCTACACCTCTTGGCGGTGTAGAAGACCTACCTACACCTCTGTGTGGTGTAGAAGACCTACCTACCTTCACCTCTGTGTGGTGTATAAGACCTACCTACCTACACCTCTGTGTGGTGTAGAAGACCTACCTACACCTCTGTGCAGTGTAGAAGACCTAACTACACCTCTGTGTGGTGTAGAAGACCTACCTAATCCTCTGTGCAGTGTGTAGAAGACCTACCTACACCTCTGTGTGGTGTAGAAGACCTACCTACATCTCTGTGTGGTGTAAAAGACCTACCTACACCTCTCGGCGGTGTAGAAGACCTACCTACACCTCTGTGTGGTGTAGAAGACCTACCTACACCTCTGCGCAGTGTAGAAGACCTACCTACACCTCTGTGCAGTGTAGAAGACCTACCTACACCTCTGTGCAGTGTAGAAGACCTACCTACACCTCTGTGCAGTGTAGAAGACCTACCTACACCTCTTGGCGGTGTAGAAGACCTACCTACACCTCTGTGCAGTGTAGAAGATCTACCTACACCTCTGTGTGGTGTAGAAGACCTACCTACACCTCTCGGCGGTGTAGAAGACCTACCTACACCTCTGTGCGGTGTAGAAGATTTACCTACACCTCTCGGCGGTGTAGAAGACCTACCTACACCTCTGTGTGGTGTAGAAGACCTACCTACACCTCTTGGCGGTGTAGAAGACCTACCTACACCTCTCGGCAGTGTAGAAGACCTACCTACACCTCTATGTGGTGTAGAAGACCTACCTACCTACACCTCTGTGTGGTGTAGAAGACCTACCTACCTACACCTCTGTGCGGTGTAGAAGACCTACCTACACCTCTGTGTGGTGTAGAAGACCTACCTAATCCTCTGTGCAGTGTAGAAGACCTACCTACACCTCTGTGTGGTGTAGAAGACCTACCTACATCTCTGTGTGGTGTAAAAGACCTACCTACACCTCTCGGCGGTGTAGAAGACCTACCTACACCTCTGTGTGGTGTAGAAGACCTACCTACACCTCTGCGCAGTGTAGAAGACCTACCTACACCTCTGTGCAGTGTAGAAGACCTACCTACACCTCTGTGCAGTGTAGAAGACCTACCTACACCTCTGTGCAGTGTAGAAGACCTACCTACACCTCTTGGCGGTGTAGAAGACCTACCTACACCTCTGTGCAGTGTAGAAGATCTACCTACACCTCTGTGTGGTGTAGAAGACCTACCTACACCTCTCGGCGGTGTAGAAGACCTACCTACACCTCTGTGCGGTGTAGAAGATTTACCTACACCTCTCGGCGGTGTAGAAGACCTACCTACACCTCTGTGTGGTGTAGAAGACCTACCTACACCTCTTGGCGGTGTAGAAGAACCTACCTACACCTCTCGGCAGTGTAGAAGACCTACCTACACCTCTATGTGGTGTAGAAGACCTACCTACCTACACCTCTGTGTGGTGTAGAAGACCTACCTACCTACACCTCTGTGCGGTGTAGAAGACCTACCTACACCTCTGTGTGGTGTAGAAGACCTACCTACACCTCTGTGTGGTGTAGAAGACCTACCTACACCTCTTGGCGGTGTAGAAGACTTACCTACACCTCTGTGTGGTGTAGAAGACCTACCTACCTTCACCTCTGTGTGGTGTATAAGACCTACCTACCTACACCTCTGTGTGGTGTAGAAGACCTACCTACACCTCTGTGCAGTGTAGAAGACCTAACTACACCTCTGTGTGGTGTAGAAGACCTACCTAATCCTCTGTGCAGTGTAGAAGACCTACCTACACCTCTGTGTGGTGTAGAAGACCTACCTACATCTCTGTGTGGTGTAAAAGACCTACCTACACCTCTCGGCGGTGTAGAAGACCTACCTACACCTCTGTGTGGTGTAGAAGACCTACCTACACCTCTGCGCAGTGTAGAAGACCTACCTACACCTCTGTGCAGTGTAGAAGACCTACCTACACCTCTGTGCAGTGTAGAAGACCTACCTACACCTCTGTGCAGTGTAGAAGACCTACCTACACCTCTTGGCGGTGTAGAAGACCTACCTACACCTCTGTGCAGTGTAGAAGATCTACCTACACCTCTGTGTGGTGTAGAAGACCTACCTACACCTCTCGGCGGTGTAGAAGACCTACCTACACCTCTGTGCGGTGTAGAAGATTTACCTACACCTCTCGGCGGTGTAGAAGACCTACCTACACCTCTGTGTGGTGTAGAAGACCTACCTACACCTCTTGGCGGTGTAGAAGACCTACCTACACCTCTCGGCAGTGTAGAAGACCTACCTACACCTCTATGTGGTGTAGAAGACCTACCTACCTACACCTCTGTGTGGTGTAGAAGACCTACCTACCTACACCTCTGTGCGGTGTAGAAGACCTACCTACACCTCTGTGTGGTGTAGAAGACCTACCTACACCTCTGTGTGGTGTAGAAGACCTACCTACACCTCTTGGCGGTGTAGAAGACCTACCTACACCTCTGTGTGGTGTAGAAGACCTACCTACCTTCACCTCTGTGTGGTGTATAAGACCTACCTACCTACACCTCTGTGTGGTGTAGAAGACCTACCTACACCTCTGTGCAGTGTAGAAGACCTAACTTCACCTCTGTGCAGTGTAGAAGATCTACCTACACCGCTGTGTGGTGTAGAAGACCTACCTACACCTCTCGACGGTGTAAAAGACCTACCTACACCTCTGTGTGGTGTAGAAGACCTACCTACCTACACCTCTGTGTGGTGTAGAAGACCTACCTACCTACACCTCTGTGCGGTGTAGAAGACCTACCTACTCCTCTGTGCAGTGTAGAAGACCTACCTACACCTCTCGGCGGTGTAGAAGACCTACCTACACCTCTGTGTGGTGTAGAAGACCTAAATACCTACACCTCTGTGTGGTGTAGAAGACCTACCTACACCTCTGTGGTGTAGAAGACCTACCTACACCTCTGTGGTGTAGAAGACCTACCTACCTACACCTCTGTGTGGTGTCGAAGACCTACCTACCTACACCTCTGTGTGGTGTAGAAGACCTACCTACCTACACCTCTGTGTGGTGTAGAAGACCTACCTACCTACACCTCTGTGTGGTGTAGAAGACCTACCTACACCTCTGTGTGGTGTAGAAGACCTACCTACCTACACCTCTGTGCAGTGTAGAAGACCTACCTACACCTCTGTGTGGTGTAGAAGACCTACCTACCTACACCTCTGTGTGGTGTAGAAGACCTACCTACCTACACCTCTGTGTGGTGTAGAAGACCTACCTACCTACACCTCTGTGCGGTGTAGAAGACCTACCTACCTACACCTCTGTGCGGTGTAGAAGACCTACCTACACCTCTGTGCGGTGTAGAAGACCTGCCTACACCTCTGTGTGGTGTAGAAGACCTACCTACACCTCTGTGCGGTGTAGAAGATCTACCTACACCTCTGTGCGGTGTAGAAGATCTACCTACACTTCTGTGTGGTGTAGAAGACCTACCTACACCTCTGTGCGGTGTAGAAGACCTACTTACACCTCTGTGCGGTGTAGAAGACCTACCTACACCTCTGTGCGGTGTAGAAGATCTACCTACACCTCTGTGCGGTGTAGAAGATATACCTACACCTCTCGGCAGTGTAGAAGACCTACCTACACCTCTCGGCAGTGTAGAGGGTTGAGTTGATTGGTTTTGGAGTATGGCATCTGCCTCGAGTGCTGAAGGTCCCGGGTTCAAGCCCCAGTGAAAGCTGGGATTTTTTTCACGTCGACTTCTAGTAGTTTTCCTTGGTCTCTGGGTAGTAAGATGGGACGCCTGTGTGTATTATCGTGCACGTAAAAAATCCTGTGGCAGTCGGTAATCGGAAAGAGTAACCTAACAGCGCTGCCCGGGCTTAATTTGGAGGTTAAAATCTACCCAAAGTATTACATGATCCTTGCTGGTGCAACAGAGTTTGTGCACTACGCTTATATTCTTTAGTCTCAGGCTTGAGTTAGAAGTAGAACGGAGCATTTATGGGATACACCTGTGTGCCATGATGTTGATCCGTCAAATAGACATAAACAATAAACGTAGATAACTACCTACACCTCTCTTCTATGTAGAAGAGCTACCTAAACTTCTCCGTGGTCATCTGAGAAACAGGCTGCCAGTCATGAGCATGGACAGCATTGATATGACCAACTTTTCTTTTGAAGTTGCAGTACATCTGTCTGAAAGGCAGGGAACCAGTGGTCTGCACACAGTTAAACCAGATCTGTAAAATGGATGTGCACTCAACACTCAAGTCCTGGAATAAGACCAAAATCCAGAAGGGAATGAACATCTAAAACTTTCCGCTGAAGTTTGACAGCTAGTTAGGAGATTGCTGAAATCTGATTTGTTGGGCTGAAAAGTGTAGATCTTGCAACACAGGTGCAAGCCAAACATGCCAACCAATTGTTTCAAGGCAAATGCAGGAGAAGATTGGTTAATGATTCTGTGAACAAGTGTTAGGTGTGTTAGTGTGTCTGTGAACAAGTATAAGATACGTTAATGACCAATTTCTGGGCACTGCACCTAAATATACTATGGACCAGACACAAAGTTATCATCTTGTCTTATATGTTTCCCCAAAGCTTAGTTGTCAGACCCACCGGGTGAGGCCACATGTTTCTCTGTATTTCCTCCGGGAGATTACAGTCTTGCAAGACATGTTCTAGGGTCTGTTCAGCATGAAGACACTGACATAGATCTGCCCGGCTCATATCTAATTTGTATGACTGTTTGTTGAGTCTGAAGTTTCCAGTGCATAAGAGAAAAGTGGTGACTTTATTCTGTTCAGATGATTAAGGAAATCTTCTTTCAGGTTATGGCGGGTGTTTGTTTTCCAGTCTGTTTTTTATTTTCTCTTTATGAAGATTTTGACTTCTGAAATCCCCTTGTAGGTTCTTGGGCACCCATTTAGGGGTGGGAGTGAAATAGACCCATTGTGCCCTTTAAAAAAACAAAACAAATTGTCATAAACGTCTACTAATTAAAGATGCTTCCTTCAAAATCAAAGTGCAAATGCTTGAGAGGTGAGGAACCAACAGTCTGCATACAAATAAGCCAGATGCGTAAAACAATGGTGCATGCAAGAGTCAAATTCTGGAACAGGACCAGGGTCCAAATGTGGACAAACCAGAATTTTCTGCGCAGTTTACAGCCATTGAAAACTAAGTAGAAGAAAAAGACTGCAGGGAGTTACCAGAGGATCTGACCGATGCTCAACACTCAAGGAAAAGGTGAGACAGATGTAAAATCAGACAGCTACTGGTACTATCGGAGTGGAACCCCTTTGCTGGCTGCTGAAGATGGGGACAGAGTGCTTGTGGGAGTGTCCCATGTGCTATGATATCGATGGACTATAAGAAGAAGTTGTATTTACGAACATGAATTTGGATGAGTTAACTTGTCTACCACCGTGTATTAAATGTGTAAGTGTACATGTTGTCTCATCTGTGCTCCATAGGATGGAGATTTATTGGCCAGCTACTACCCACCGGCAGCTCAGGTTGCTTATATACTAAGTCTTGGTGTTGTTATGGACTTCCGTAGAAATGGAATTGGTGAGTTTTTGTTGTTAATTTTTGTAGTTGTTTTTGTTGTTGACAACTTTCTGTCTTTTCAGTGATTGTGCTACGTAAGAAGACATAGGATTCAAGGTTCCTCCTCTCCTTAGCACAAAGCCTGGGCAGTGATGTGGAGACCATACACCACTGCTCATGCAACAAATTACCCTGTCAGCCAACTTTGTTAACTCCAGAGGAAAGGTAACGCCAGTTCATTTGGATCAGAGCATGCTGTTTCCTTTACAGTGAACAGTACAGAGGTTCTGGAAAGACTAAAAATGAAAATAAAATTACTTTAAGGGTTCTGTTCATGTTTTCAGGTCCAGGATTAGAATAACTTCCCTTGCCATTCATGCCTCCTTGGGTCGCTGGACCTCTCCTATGTGGCGGGGATGTTATGATATGGCTTGGTTTGGCATTCGCTCGACGTATGTTATGTTTGTGGGAGGTTGTGTTGTTGTGAGTCTATTTCAGGTGCTGCAGGCGCCTGTGTACGAGTAGGAAGAACCACAACCGTGACGGATTTTGGCTGTCAAAACTGAGATGTTTTTGTATTTCTACGTTCATTGATGGTGGTCCCCCCCCCCCCCCCCCCCCCCCCCCCCCCTTTTTTTTTTCCCCGAGAGAAAGAATTAGCAAAATGTGAAAATAATCATACAAGCAGGCGTGAGAAGATGAGAAAAGATTCAACAGATTAACTATTCACAAAAAGGAAAACATGACTTCCCTGCAACATAGAAGAGGTACAGCGACCTAACGAGGCATGAATGACAAGGGAAGTTACTCTAATCCTGGGTCTGGATACCTGAACAGCACCGTGGAAAGAAATAAAAAAGTGACAATAGAAACTTTTTGGCCACATTAAAAAACATAGCACTTAGTCCTCTGAAGCAGCAGTCACCCTAAGGTACCTCTGCCGATTGTTCCCTTGAGAAGTTGGTTAAATGGTCTCCTGAACTGATCTTGAAGATGGCAGGGGCATGGTTTACATTGCCTTACTTCCAGATTATGTAACGTGTTAGCGTCAGACTCATCATTATTCACCAGCCTTGTCCGTACATTAGTTCATTAAGAACTTCCTCTATGATGAATAAAAGACGGGTAAAAGATATTGAGGCCGACCTCTACTGCGATATAAAAATGTGTGCAAGCGGGACATGAAAGATGCAGGAGTTGAGGTGGACTCATGGGAAAGACGGAAAAGTGCCAGTCAAACAGTCAGTCAGTCCATTCAGGATTGATATCAGCTGAAGTGTTTCCTTGTGCTAAGCTGCAATCATGCAGCCGTATCACTGGTGTTGGAAGGAGGAATTTTATTGAGAAAGGAAAGGATAAACTTTGCTGAGAAATCAGTAGAAAGAACAAGAGAATGTCAAGAGGAAGGTGGAAGGACAACATGCATCTAAAAGTATGAAGTTTGGATGTGCACTGTGAGTCTGAGTAAGCCTTCAGTGTATCTGTTAGTATAGTTGAGTGTGCCCATGTGTGAGGTTGTGTTTTACAGTTGAGTGCCTCACTATGCTTCAGGTTACAGTTGAGTGCCTCATAGTTTTAGATTGTTTTCTATCTTGTAGGCAGATAAACCTGGACCCTGTAAGGGATGCAATGAACAGTGACACTCTACAGTGGAGTCTGGATAAGCAGATGTCTCAGGAATCTAACGAAGCTTTCCACATAAGGAATTCTACTTATCAGGACTTTTTGTACAATGATGAAGAAGGGAAATGGCAGGGGCTAAGCTGATCATGTGTCGAGTTAAGCGAAATTCGCCGTATCAAAGTTTGACTCAAGTGGACTCGACTGTATACACAGCCATACATGTTATAGAAGGCAGTTAAGGACAGTCCAACATTTTAGAGGGTGGTAAGACTGAGTTTCCCAGCTTTCTGATGCTTGTGACGACCCCAAAACATCTAGAACTGGCCCTAACCCCACCCGCCTGTGTCCCACGAGAGAGTGCAGCCTAGGTCCCAAGACTGCATGCAACCTTTCTACCACCCCCTGAAATATTAGACTGTCTAGTGACCTGTGGATTTACCCTGTTTGGGGTAGGATATTATTAATACACCGAAGGGGCAACTAAGTCAAGTAAAAAGTACATTGTGCAATATTGTTTGTGCCTGTCATGATTTCAGTTATGTATTATTTGTATTCCCCCAGCCTCACTACTCCTGGACAGCCTCTTGTCCTACCTCACCTCCAAGGAGCGATTTGATTGCAAAGCGGTCTACCTCCATGTGCTGTCAACAAACACTGTTGCTCTCAGATTTTACGAGCGGCGCCGGTTTCGTCGGCATCTTTTCCTGCCCTACTATTATGCTATTCAGGGCAAAGCCAGGGACGGCTACTCCTACGTATTATACATAAATGGTGGCCAGCCCCCTTGGTCTATATTATATCCTTTTTGCATATGGTTCATGCATTTCCTGTATATTGTTGCATGTTTAAATATCTACTTGATTGCTTAAATTCACTGTAAAATAAACAAGGTTTAAAGGCAAGAAGGTTGACTTGATTGCATTTGGTTTTATCCTATGGCTCACTCACTCTACATTGTGTCAGATGCCTTGTTTAAAAAAAATTGGGGATCTCTGAAACCAACGCACTCATAAATTGAGGGCAAAAACTGAAACCAAATCCAGGCATATGCACTCTTACTTTGAGGGAAGCTCCCAGTTAGTCGACTCTTAGGACATGCTTTTGAGTAGGCACTGGGTTTGTATTATAACCACCAGGTGTTCCTGGTCTACCTTTGACCCCTCTCATTATTATTTTGCTACAGAGAGAAAGTGAGTCACCGCGGTGGAGCAGCTAGATGCTCGCCACGGATCGGAAAGTTGTGGGTTCACCCCCTGGCAGGGCCGGCCCTTTTTTTTCAAAAATGACCTTGACTCCCAGGACAACCCAGCCTTGAGTGGGTACGGGTCGCAGTCCCGGGAAAGTAAAGGCAGCCAGCGTGATGCTGACCACATCAACCATCTTGTGCCAATTCATTCATTCATTCAGTAGCATGTCCCTCGCGGAACCTCGCTGCCATAACAACCCTCCGGAAAACCTTCCTATCCTGAGCAAGATGTCCTGCGTCTGATATACCCATCTGGAGATCATCTGCCACATCCTGCACCCATCTTCTCCTTGGCCTTCCTCTTCCTCTCTTCCCAGGCATATACCCCTCCATTATTGTTCTCTCTAGACTTCCATGACGTTTCAAGTGACCAAAATATTTCAATTTTCTTTGTTTTATTGTCTTTACTAGCCAACCCTCTTCAATATTCAGCTCTTGAAGTATGGATGCATTTGTTCTTTTCTTTACCCAAGATATTCTTAGAACCTGTCTGTAACATTTATATTCAAATGCATTTATGCGCTGTTCCGCCTGTTTAGTAAGTTTGTGCCAATTGGTCAATAAAAATATAGGTCCAGCCCTAAATGCCCTATACGCCTGAAGTCGTGGAAAAGGATCCTTTACAAATGCCTGACAAAGTTCAAGTGTGTCCGCCAAAAGGCACAGCTATCACAGTAGCTCTTCTTTGAAGTCATAACACTGTAACACCCTATATACACAAATATTGGAGGAAGAAGTAGTCTTCTGATCAGATCCCTCAGCTGACCATTAGTCTCTGTAAATCTCTTCAGTTTGGTTTGAGTATCCTGTATCCTTGTACAACCTGTGTGATTAGTTGTTTCTTGGTTGTTCTGCAACCCCCCCCCCCCCCCCACCTTGCCCCAAACCAATATTTCACTTGCACACCTCCATGTATCATATCTTGTCATCTTGTCAACTTCTTTCTTAATCTTTCACAAGATATCTGTTTTTTCCTAATCATTTTGAATTCTAATCTTGATTATTTTAAAAAGTATTCTTAAAGCATGGACTGTTAGGCATGGACAGACTGCAGATTGTCAGAAGTTATGTTGAATCGAGTTGAATCACAGCACTCGGAACACCCCCATCTTCAGCAGCAAGCAGAGATTTCCAGTTCTGATGGTACCATAACTGATTGAGAAATTGTGTGGAAACAGCATAGATTTGGTTTTATAGAAGAATGATGAGAAACCATGGGCAGAAAGAAAACATAATGAAAATGTACGGAAGGAAGTTAGCTCAAAAAGAGAGCTGGTTACCTGCATCATCAGAGAACACGCCAATTCTTTAGCCATGTCATGAGAAAGGGAGAGCGCACTAGAAAAAAAAAAGAGAGACAGATGTGGCTTATTCATATGCAGACTGTTGCTTCTTAAGGGGTCACTACACCAAAAAATTTTATTTTTTCATTTACAGACTTAGAGCAGTTATTTTATGATGGTCATTTGTAGGGATACATTTTATTACATTTGTATACTTTAAGTGTTAAAAAACCATAGTAATCATGGCAATAGCCGCCATCTTGTGAAAAAAACAATATGTACTTAGAATCCTAAAATTTTAAAAACAATCATAGGTATTCAACAATAGATGATGGATCCATGACTTTTTATTTTACTTAGAGGTACAGGTCTAGTTTATTTACTTTAAACATGTTTTTAAATATTTTTCGTAGAATTTTAAAATGTAGGTTTATTGAAAAAGTAAAAAAAATCTAGCATCATAAGACAGTAATCAAATTTTAGAAAACAAAAACTTTCTAAAATCTACTTTTAGATAGACCAGTCCCTATAATATTGTGTATGGAGTATGCATACAAAATTTCATATTTCTACTCTTTATATTAGTATAGATTTTAGGATTTCACACAAACAGCAAACTGAAATATAGAGATTTGAGAAAACTGACTTTTGAACTTTTTTTTATCTTAAAAAAGTGCACGAGGTGGTGTCGTTAGTATTAACTTTTCAATGCTAAACTGTTTACAAATGACATAAATTTTTTGTGTCATCTATTCTACGAATGCCGAACTTTACAAAAACGAACACATTGAAAAAGTGATATTTTTGTCATAAATTGGGAAAATGCTGTGTAGTGACACCTTAATACTTTGTGAGAAGAGTGGGAGGAGCTAAAGTGACAGAAGGAAAGTTGGAGAAGAGAGGCAGGTGGAAACCAGGATGGTTTGTCATCACAGCGTTAGGAAATGTCTGTATCAGAAATTATTGACAGTACAGAGGGCTGTGGGGCAGGCCTGATGAATAACACTACAGTGTTAAAAAGGTAAGCAAAGGTTCCCTTTCCACGCCTGCAAGCATTTAGAGCTAGAGCTGTTTTAGATCCCTTTCCACGCCTTCAGGCATATAGAGCTAGAGCTGTTTTAGATCCCTTTCCACGCCTTCAGGCATATAGAGCTAGAGCTGTTTTAGATCCCTTTCCACGCCTTCAGGCATATAGAGCTGTTTTAGATCCCTTTCCACGCCTTCAGGCATATAGAGCAAGAGCTGTTTTAGATCCCTTTCCACGCCTTCAGGCATATAGAGCTGTTTTAGATCCCTTTCCACGCCTTCAGGCATATACAGCTAGAGCTGTTTTAGATACCTTTCCATGCCTTCAGGCATATAGAGCTGTTTTAGATCCCTTTCCATGCCTTCAGGCATATACAGCTAGAGCTGTTTTAGATACCTTTCCATGCCTTCAGGCATATAGAGCTGTTTTAGATCCCTTTCCATGCCTTCGGGCATATAGAGCTGTTTTAGATACCTTTCCACGCCTTCAGGCATATAGAGCTGTTTTAGATCCCTTTCCACGCCTTCAGGCATATAGAGCTGTTTTAGATCCCTTTCCATGCCTTCAGGCATATACAGCTAGAGCTGTTTTAGATACCTTTCCATGCCTTCAGGCATATAGAGCTGTTTTAGATCCCTTTCCATGCCTTCGGGCATATAGAGCTGTTTTAGATACCTTTCCACACCTTCAGGCATATACAGCTAGAGCTGTTTTAGATACCTTTCCATGCCTTCAGGCATATAGAGCTGTTTTAGATCCCTTTCCATGCCTTCAGGCATATAGAGCTGTTTTAGATACCTTTCCATGCCTTCAGGCATATAGAGCTGTTTTAGATCCCTTTCCATGCCTTCAGGCATATAGAGCTGTTTTAGATACCTTTCCACGCCTTCCCAGGTCATTTTTGAAAAAAAAAAGTTTAGCACCGTTTGAATTTGAACCCACGACCTTTGGATCTGCAGGTGATTCATCTGGCCACTACCCCTTTACAGCTGCCAACACTGCGTAGCCTTGACTGTAGTCAGAAAAATAATAAAAGTACCTTGTTCTTTTTTATAGACTTATCCAGTGGATCATCACTGTGACTGCGTAGATATGTTCGTGGTCAAATCCTGACATTCATGGCTGTCTTCCTGAGTGCTTGTTGATGTCTTCTCTTTCTTCTTCTTTCGCTAAATGGCTGTTAACTCCTTTGCAACATCCTGGTTGTTCCTCCACTTCTGGACTTTGGTTTTGTTCAAGAACTTGAGTTTTGCATGCACATCTTTTTTACAGATATGCCTTTTTTTTAATGCAGACTTTTGGTTCATTTTCAGGCAGATGCATTCTGACTTTGTTGCCTTGTATGACATACTTTTTATTTAAAAATTTTTTTTTTTTTTTGGGGTTAGGTGCAGGAAGTCTAATCTATCTCTAGCCCCCTTATCCTCTCCCCCACCCTCACCCAGTGAAGCCTCAGAATCTGCAATGAAAACCACACTTGTTGATTTGAAAATGCCTGTTAATTCTTTCAGTCCAGGATTTGTCATGTCTGCTTCTTTACCACTTAACTTCAAAATACCTTTAAGATGCTAAAATATCTATTAATTTTAAAAAATAAAAATACAAAAAAAAAAAGTTAAGTGGCCTTTGCCCATATCTGAATGCAAATTGCTTGGGTCCTTGCGTCATATTTTCATAGACCAATCACCAGTAGATAGGAGATGTCAGTCAATGAAGTGGCTTCTCCCGACTTAAACCTCAAACTTTTTATTGGCTTGTCATGAGAAGAATATTTGTGACGGTGGAAACATTAAAAGGCAAGAGAGACATGGACCAAGGAAGAAGAGATTGGACAGTTTGGTAGTATGGCATGGAAGAACATCTGTATCACATGGTCAGCAGTTCAGGATGGCATGGAAGAACATCTGCATCACATGGTCAGCAGTTCAGGATGGCATGGAAGAACATCTGTATCCGATGGTCAGCAGTTCAGGATGGCATGGAAGAACATCTGCATCACATGGTCAGCAGTTCAGGATGGCATGGAAGAACATCTGTATCCGATGGTCAGCAGTTCAGGATGGCATGGAAGAACATCTGCATCACATGGTCAGCAGTTCAGGATGGCATGGAAGAACATCTGTATCACATGGTCAGCAGTTCAGGATGGCATGGAAGAACATCTGCATCACATGGTCAGCAGTTCAGGATGGCATGGAAGAACATCTGTATCACATGGTCAGCAGTTCAGTTTGGCATGGAAGAACATCTGTATCAGATGGTCAGCAGTTCAGTATGGCATGGAAGAACATCTGTATCAGATGGTCAGCAGTTCAGGATGGCATGGAAGAACATCTGCATCAGATGGTCAGCAGTTCAGGAAACAGAAAGTTGTAGTCAGAAATGATTACCATCACCACATGGCAGGAACCAAGAAGAAGAACATCCAACATTACACTCTAGTTAAATACAGACTTGCCCTGCCTGGTTTCTGGTAGCCCGTTTTGATGACCCACTGCTGCCTAGCAAGCATGTCCTAGAAGGTGACTAATTATGGGTTTGCTAAAATCAGATTTGTTCTGCCAAAAGGTGCAGAAATCACAGACTGGGAGTCCCTGTCTGGGCTCCGGGGCCCCATTGTGGGGAAAACAAGAATATACCCATTGCCTGCCCAATAAGCATGTCATAAGAGTCAACTAATTGGTAGCTTCCTTTGAGAGGCAAGGAACCAGCAGTCTGCATGCAAATGAATCAGACCTGTACACACAACACTCAGTTTCTGGAACAGGACTAGAGTCCTGAAGTGGACGAAAAACCAGGCATTTCTGCCAGAGTCTATAGCTGGTGAACGCGAAGCAAACGAAGAAGACAAACTGTAAACCACAACACAACCGCCTATTCAGGACAAATATAGAAGACAAAGAAGAAGAATCTGTCTTGATAGTTGCTTACTCAGCATAAGAAAATGTCAAATTTTGTTGACTTAATTTATGTTGTCTTTATTCATGTGTAGATGCAAAAGTTGTAACTGTGTGGTCTTCTTTAAAGACAAAAAAGAAGAAGAATACACACCTATAACTTCAAAGTTATTGGCATCTACCACTTTTCCCTGTATAAGTTATGGGACCCCATTTTGATGAGGAACACTCCCCCCCCCCCCCCCACCCCCTTTCCCAACAAGCATGTCATAAAGTAACCAAACTAGCAGTCTGCATACAAATAAACCAAATTTGTAAAATGGATATGCACACAAAACTCAAATTCTAAAAGAAGATTAAAGTTCAGAAGCAGACAAACAACCATAACTTCCTGTAAGGGTTTACAATAGGTGAACATGAGGAATCAAAAGAAGAAGACATATAACACTAGTTAGAGTTATTTTATGTAGAAATTGTTGCAAAGGATGTACTTGTTTTCCTGAACTGTTTCACTGATTACCTTACTCACTGCAGTGCAATTGTGACCAAACTACAACCTTGTGCTCTTCCACGGCAAGTGTATGGTGCTGTCAGAAACATAGTGCAGCGTCTGCTGTCCAGATCGGCATCAGAAGTCTCTCACAGCAGTTGATGTTGCTTGTTTTTGTGCAGGATGCTAAGAAATCGAAGCCATTGAACATTATTTTATTACTTTTTATGACTGCACAATTTTGATGTTGATCCCTCATGCAAGTATTACCATTCTGGCATAGTTCTTGCAGCTGCAATTGATTCGCATTGCAGTCAGAAATGTGACATTTTGGTGCAGTTTTTGAAACCCAGTAGGAGTGAAAAGAGTGTTTGAAAGAAATGTACTATTGCAACATCCTAAAAGACATAAAAACTTTCATAATACCTACAAGAAGGAAAGTCAAAAGCAAGCAAGCAAAAGGTAGACAGTGACACAGATGAAAAGATAACAGTATTAGATGGGTGAGCAGCATTCTGAGACGGCGTCCAGTCTTGATGAAAAATGTTAGAGGCCACATTCATTGTCTTCCCATATGGGTTCTGGTGCCCCATTGTGGGAGCAACAAGTATAGACCCACTGCCTCCCTAACAACAGTAAGAAAAGTTAGTTGCATATCCTTTACAGGACGTTGCAGAACCAACTCCAGCATTGTTTAGCTGTTGTGGTTTTTCTAGTCTAATTTACGTTCACTAGTTTGCCAGTGCTTTCTGAACAGTCGACTTTTGATACCACTGTCAAAACCAACATAAGACGACCTGCTGCTAGATCGCCAGCAGGCGGGATCCACCCCAGTATTACAAATCCTCCTCCACAACACCTATGCCACAGAATCCGACCTCTTTAACAAGCATGTGGTAAAAGTTGACCTTCTAGGGTCTTTCCTTCAGATTCGGAGTGCATCTGCCTGAGAGCCAAGATAAGCCAGATCTGTAAAACAGATTTTAATTTGCACGCAGAACACAAGTTCTGGAACAAGACTAAGGTCCAGAAGTGGATGAACAACCAGAACTTTCCACCAGTGTTTACCGTTGGTGAATGCAAAGAAGAAGTTGTCCAGACAACGCCTGATTGATGGAAACAGAGTGGTAATTTAGTAGAGTGCTTTTCCCTGCTTTGCTGTCTTCGGTTAAGGGTTAGACTGCTGTGGTCAATGGATGTTGTTAACCCATGAAATTCAACTTGTCATTTGAGGACAACCATTTTTATTTTTGCTAGACTAGAAAGTATGTGGAGAAAATAACAGAGTGCAGGGTAACTATCTGCCCACACTGGACTACCGGTTACTTCGCTACTCTTTTATGGTGCCACTGTTTCCCCATGTGGGTTCCAGGGCTGCGTTGTGGGGTAAACAAGAATAGACCCACTGCCTACCCATCGACCATGTCGTAAAAGTCAACTTATTGGAGGTTTCCTTCAAAATCGGAGTGCATCTGCCTGAGAGGCAAGGAACCAACAGTCTGCACACAGTTTAGTCAGATCCGTTAAACAAATGTGCATGCAACGCTCAGATTCTGAAACAAGACCAAAGTCCATAGGTGGACAAACAACCAGAACTTTCCGTCGGGGTTTACAGCCGGTGAACGTGAAGAAGAAAAGGGAGTATAACTGTGCTGTAAGATTGAACAGGGTTTCAGGGATTTGTATCTGTTTGATTCTCATCCTTAAGGTGTTAATTCTACAGACGGCAGTCCTGGAGGGGGACAGCTAAGAAAAGAAAGAAGGTATATTGTTTTTTTTAGTAGTGGCCAACCATTTTACAGCAGTGTGACTTTGAGGCTAGTTAACGCTTTTCGTAATTTCACAAACCTTGACTATCAGGATTTAGTTTCCATATATATATTTTTAACGCATACATGGCTTTTAGCCACTGATACTGGAATCGCACTGTGGAAGACATTACGACGTAATATTCTTGAAATCGGCCAACATTCATTAGGGAGAAGACAGCATTGTTTGGTAGACCATCTTACAGCAATTTAAACAGGTACTGAAGTGGGAAATACAGGGATTAAGGAAACGAGGTTGTCGGAGAGAAACCCTAAGGTGAACGTTGATGAGAGAAGCCAAAGGTACTGGACTAAATTCCATTCATACTATCAGAGTGATTGCACAGGATTTAACAGAATGGAGAATAGACTGTGAGCCTTGTGTGACATTTAATGACACAAGAGGACAATGAATGAACAGCAATTTAGGATGAAAAAAATTTGAAGTTGAGAAAGAGGCATAGGAAAACATGGTATCTGAGTTGCCAACCTCGTGAGACCAGAAAGATGTGGCAATATAGTAATGACTCTGCTTCCTGTGTGGGTTTCGTGGCCCCATTGTGTGGGGGGGGAAACAAGAATAGACCCACTGCCTGCCCAAAAGCATGTTGTAGGAGTCAGTCAATTGGGAGCTTCCATCAGTGTCAGAGTAAATCTGCCTGAGAGGCAGGGAACCAACAGTCTGCATGCAAGTCAGACCTGTGAAACAGATGTACATGCAACATTCAGGTTCTGGAACAGGATTGGAGCCCAGAAGTGGACGAACAACCAGAACTTTCTGCCAGAGTTTACAGCTGGTGAACGTGTAGAAGAAGAAGAAAGAATGATTGTCTGGGACTACAGTAATGATTGTCATTGATAGTGTCCAGAATAAGATCCCAAATATACTGGTAGCGAGAGCATACAACAAGAAAATGAAAACACCAAAATGCAGAGGAAGACCTAGAAGAAGGTGGAGTCACTGACGGTCTAAGACTTCATAGAATACCAAGCAACCGAGCTCGCCTTAGCAGCAGAAAACATATTGACAAAAATAACCAGAGACAATATAAACACCCAAGCCACAGGCACCGACTGGACAGCTAAAAAAGATGCAAAATATATCTGGACATTTGAAATAGCATGTAGCTTCATGTCATCTGATGACAGCTGGACAGAATGCAGAATATGTGGGGATGTTTAGAACAGTATGTGACTTCATATCATCTGATGACAGATGGACAGAATGCAGAATATGTGGAGATGTTTAGAACAGTATGTGACTTCATGTCATCTGATGACAGCTAGACAGAATGCAGAATATGTGGGGATGTTTAGAACAGTATGTGACTTCATGTCATCTGATGACAGATGGACAGAATGCAGAATATGTGGAGATGTTTAGAACAGTATTTGACTTCATGTCATCTGATGACAGCTAGACAGAATGCAGAATATATGGGGACATTTAGAACAGTAAATGACTTCATGTCATCTGATGACAGCTAGACAGAATGCAGAATATTTGGGGACATTTAGAACAGTATATGACTTCATGTCATCTGATGACAGCTGGACAGGATGCAGAATATATGGGGACATTTAGAACAGTATGTCATCTGATGACAGCTAGACAGAAAGCAGATATATGGGGACATTTAGAACAGTATATGACTTCATGTCATCTGATGACAGCTAGACAGAATGCGGAATATATGGGGACATTTAGAACAGTACATGACTTCATGTCATCTGATGACAGCTAGACAGAATGCAGAATATATGGGGACATTTAGAACAGTATATGACTTCATGTCATCTGATGACAGCTGGACAGGATGCAGAATATATAGGGACATTTAGAACAGTATATGACTTCATGTCATCTGATGACAGCTTTTTTTTTTTTCCATCGAACACCGGCTGTGAATTCCAGTGGAAGGTCAGGTAATCGTCCGCTTGGACTTTTGGCTTTCAACTGGACCTGATTTTTGCGTGTACAACCGTTTTTCATTTCCCTGCCTCATGGGCAGCTGTACGCCGACTTCGAAGGAAGACGTCAGGCCTATTTCTAGGGTGACTGTGGCCATTGTTTTGTGTGGGTCGAGACGTTGCCTGATTTGTGTGGTGTCCACATTGTCTCCTTTGCTGCAGGTATTGCCCCCGGAGTACCCCTTTGGGTCAGCCCCCTGTGGAGCAGTTAGCCCTCAAGGGAAGGCAGGGGCAGATCATGGGCATTCCCCGCCATCCAAGGAGGCATCCATGTATGCAGAGCCGGCACATGGCGCTCTGGTTCTGGGCTCACCCAAGGAATCGTCACGTCCTGCACATGCCTGCTTAACCTCACAACCGTATCAGGCCTCCCGCTCGACAGGGGCTGCGCCCTCTGGAAGTCAGCGGGGAGCAGCCCGTGGGTTTTTGACTTTTGTGACCACACAGATAGGTACATTCTTTTTTCTTCACACGTTAGATTGCTTTGACGAGCCGTTAGCCCGACAGAATTTTACATCCTGCTCCAGGCATATCGTATCAGTTTTGTCCCACACTCGGGCGAGTGGGGTCTTTGGGTGTGGACATTCGGTCTTTTTCAGTTCAATACAAATTTTGAGTTTTGTCGGACATTTAGGCTTAGCCATCCGATGGATGGTTGCTGTTATGGTGTACCACAGCGCGGTGACGACGACACTGAGGGTTAACCAAGGATGTACATGAATGGCCAGCCTATGGATGGTTGCTGTTGTGGTGTACCCCAGCGCGGTGACGACGACACTGAGGGTTAACCGAGGATGTACATGAATGGCCAGCCTATGGATGGTTGCTGTTGTGGTGTACCCCAGCGCGGTGACGACGACACTGAGGGTTAACAGAGGATGTGCAGTGAACAATGTTCTCTTTACTCCGCAGTCTTTTAACCAAGGGTTGTAATTTTGACTGTACGTTTGGCAGACCTACTCATGTTCCTAATGAGTTATAATAACATTTTTCACCCAAGCGTTTGGGGGCGGGCTGATGAGAGCCACAAGGACACATCACCTCTGGGGGCCGCCAAACTCCGAGATTCCCTGACAGCTCTGTTAATGCTCATTTGAGACATTATCCGTGGCGCACGACGAGGACGTGCTGCCGGGTCTTGCGTGAGGTTCCGTACAACCAGGATATTAAAGGACTGGTGCCCGAGTGACGTACGGAGTATCTCCTTATACACATCATGTTGGACTTAACTTCCCCTCACGCCTGTGACATAAATCACCGCGCCACTGATGACAGCTGAACAGGATGCAGAATATATGGGGACATTTAGAACAGTATATGACTTCATGTCATCTGATGACAGCTGAACAGGATGCAGAATATGTGGAGACATTTGGAACAGTA